CTGCAGCTCGAGCTAGGTAGAATACGTAATGAGTACGTGGGCTCTTGACTTCGGACTATTATACCAGCCGGCCCATTATGACTAATCGCTCGGTATGCCTCGCTATCGGAGCCTCGGGGGCGAATATTCGCGTGGCGAATGAAACTTATACACATACAAGAATCACAATTATATAACTCGTTATCGTGCAGGATTTATGTTTGAATAAACGTGATCGAGTTTATTTCGAAAGTATATTTCCGATATTATGGCGGAACGTTAATAACAAAGTAAAATGTGATGTGTAGTAAACCAAAGTAAAATAAATGAAAGGAAAAATTATTATTTTGCTGTAAGTGTAACTTTACTAATGGCCGTTTCATAATTAATGGTGCGCAACTGATAGAGGGGATCCTGCAATCGCCCGGACTATCCTAACGTTCAGTCGGAACGCGCGGTCGGATCAAGCTCTTACTTTACTACTTCACGTCGCTCACCGCGGAAACGCTTCCCGCACGAGATCGAAAATTCCTAGATAATTTCTCGTCACGCGATCGTTCCTCGTCAAGTGGCCGCTCGCTGCACGGGCGCGACGCTAATTTCTGGCTTAAATCTCGAAGGTGCGGTCCGACCGGGATGGGGCACGATGTGAATGCGAACGGTCATACGCGCAGTCAGGACGCGAGGAGATGAGAGGGTGAAGATAGAAAGCGGAAGGGGGGCGAGGAGAGAGAGAAAGAGGGGAGGAGGGGGGGGGGGAGAGTTTAGGTATTGGCGATTCTATAGCGATGTATTAGCACCACGATTGCCGCCAGCAGCCAGCGGCCTAAGTGAATGGCTCTGCCGAGGGCTTTGCTGATTATGGCGTCGCCATTGATCCAGATCGAAATTGGCTTGCCTCTGTCATGGAACGTGCCCAGAGGACCATTAATATCCTCCGCGGGCCAAGAGCGAGCGGGCGCGACGCCCGTATCGATGACGGAGATGAGAGGAAGAGGCCAGCTAATCGCAAATATAGCCGCAGATCGAGGTGCGAAGCCCTTCTCGTCGCTGTCGGGATATATCACCTCATTGAGCGATTAAATAATTAACATCCGATCGCTTCTCATATCTATATGTGGGAGGGAAGGGATTTACTTTAAAATTCCAATTATAATTGTGTGAGAGGAGATGAAATAATACTTAAATACGTTTTAGCAGAAAAATTATTTGAACTCGAATAATATTTTGTTTGAAAAAAAATACAGAGAGAGGAGAAAGAGAATATTTTAAAAATGTGTTTTCTGTAAAAAAAAAAAAGAATGGTCTCTTTCAATAATATTTTAAAATATACATCAGCATTAATGTAAAAGTCTGATTTTTCACGAATATTAATTTTTTAAATGTATGTGAAATTCTTGCAGTAGTTTTCTTTTTAAGACCGCACAAAAATGAGCTATTAATAATAAAAAATACGTTGCTTCCATTAGAAAATTTAAAATATACATTTATGTAAAAAAATGTTTCTTGTATTACTAAAATATTTATAGATATCTCAGCAACTAAGCTTTCGCCAGGTAGGAAAAAAATAGGCAATTTCCGAGGCATTTTTATAGATTGCTGAATACTAGAATGTAAAATACTGTATTATATACTGATATTGACAGACGATCGTAAATAATTAGACAATCTTTAAGTCGTTAAAAATAGTCGATCAATAATAAAAGAGGCTGATTTATAAATCCGTCTACCATTGGAAGAATGACGATCCACCACTTGTCTGTCTATCGGGGCGATTAATAAATTGTCAGGATTAAAAGGGTTCACGCTCGGTAATAAATGCAGTGTTCCCGCGGAGATTGGATTTGACGTAAATCGGCAAAACTGGAAGCGAAATTCTCCCGCGGCGCTCTCTCCGTCTAGTCTCTCGATCGTGTTCGTTTACACCTCTACCTTTATCCCCCTTGCCACCTGATTAATGTGGATTACAACGGAGTATATGTAAAAGAATAAGGATGCACCATATTTGATCGCGCGAATTATATCGGGAGGGTGTAAAATTTATGGACTAACACACTGTAGCGTGTTACCACGACGCGAGTAACAGGTTATAAATATCGAATCGGGGTACAAACGCCATTTCATTTATCCATGAAATTTTCCGATATAGATAAATTATGCAGCATCGGAAATACGCCAATAATAGCAACGGATTAATTTAGATCATTTACGAGCCTTTATGGCTCGCTTTTACGTCGCTTATTGCTCTTTTCAATCCAATGAATAACTTATTTGCGGAATAAATATCCTAGCGCTCGTTTACGAGCCAAACAGAAATATCTAATTTTTGCGTCGGAATGATTCAAAACGGGGGACAGTACGCAATTATTCCGCCAATCAAATTCATTCTGTTATCGATGATAATAAATGGATGTTTCCATTATTTTCTACTATTGACTCGTTACTGACGTTAAAGTATGTTGCACGAATACGAGTATTTTTCTATTTTAATTAATTCGGTCTATTTTAAGGCAGTCTCGTTGCAGGTTGAATAAACGCTTGTAATATTTCTCGTTTACAAATATGTTATATATAATAAGAAAAATTGATTTAATTTGCGACAATAATAATAACGAACGTAATAAATTGTTACATTCGTCCTATCTTATTTAAAATATTGATTTTTAATACTGGTTTGATTACTGAGATAAATGTAGGCATTTGATAGCGTACTAAAGCGCCTTTTTTGACAGAATTAAGTGGAAGACAACGTGCGTCTGACGCGAAAAATTACGTGGCAAGCGAAGATAACAGTGCTCTCGACAATTGACCTTTTCCCGCTCGAAGCTATAATATGGCTCTATTCGCCGTTTATCGGCTAATTGAAGTTTTCAAAGGCAGTCATTTGCCAGATTGAATTAAAAGTTGAGTAGTTGCTTGGGGATCAAAGAAACCTATTTTCTCTGCCGCTCGAATACCGGCGATGGATTTTATACATTTGTTATTATTGGCGTCTATAGCTCTGCATATGTATGATTCGTTCTATTTTTTAATCACGTATCACCAGTCGTAAACTAACCGTCGATATTTCCATATAGAGAATATATGAATATATGAATGACAAATCGTTATCGCCGTTTTTTTTTAATTCATAATAAAAATTTATAAAGATTCGGATTTTTGGAGTTAAATCTGTTGGGAGAAAAATAAAATTTCCCAATAATTTTAAAAATTACTAAAATTTATCGGCGCGGAGGTACACGGATTTCGGACGAAATTTTTCGGGAAAGTGCCCTCTAAAATGTGTCTCTCGATACACCGAGAATCAATTTTCGTTGCCGGTATATATATATATCTTTCGGGACACCTCGTGGACGCGGCGATGAAGGCTCGGAGTAGATGATGCTTCCTTCCTCCGTCTGTATCTGTCGATTGCCAATATCTCGGCAAGACGGCAAGAGACGACGACGACGACGGCGGCGGCGGCGGCGGCGGCGGCGGCGGGATCGAACAGGCAGGATTCTCAGTTCCGATAAGAGTTAGTGCTCACTTGTTGACCCGCTTCGACGATCGTAACTTATCGAGATACAAGACCGGCGATTGAGAGAAACGACGTGTGCGGCCAGACGCCGGGCGAGACGGCTCTCTTGGATTTATCGCGAGACGTCTTAATAACGTCGCGCGCAACGAAGATTTTTACGGGCGACATGTGCGATGGATTGCGCGCGATGTCGACGCGACTTTTCAGCGACTTTCGGTTTGAGATTCGGACTGATTTTCTTCGGCTGTTTCCGAGAACTCGTCGAGAAATCGCCGAGAGTCGAGCAAGCGACTTCGCCCCTCTCTCGTCGATCGTCTCGCCATCGTTACGTTATTCGTTATACAACAACGACACTCGTCGGGACTTTATCGTTGGCAAATCGAGAGAGTCCGGCGATCGCGCGGGCAGTTCTCCACAGCAGTTCATGTGTAGTGCCATTAGTTAACCGCGCTGATCGACGTTACACGCCAAGTGGCATTGCGCGGCAAGTAAATTTTCTGTTTTATCGTTTGCGCGCAAATCATCGTTAGGCATTTCCGCGGCTCCACCGTTTAGTTGGCACGATCCGATTGGATTGCGCGCGCCCCGCGCGCAGTCGAGTAGAATTACAGACACGGTACGCCCGGCCAATGCCGATCCGTTACAACGAATAGCTGCAGATAGAACCGATAATGAATTGGAATTGTTTGCAAACTGCATGGGCGCTTTAGCAACAACGCGAGCACCGCCGCCGTTCTCTACGGCGCGCGCGTACAATCGCGCACATAGTTATTCCATTCGAATATAATATGTGTTTCGATAATTGGAGGCTTTTACGAGGCGGGGTTTCTGTTTGGAATTGCCAGGTTTCTATATGCCGATGACGGGCCCGCTCTCCGTTATCGATAAGGTCGGCCTGTCGTATTCGGAAACGCGCCTCGCGGCGGGCGTCTTTGTTTAAGTTGGATTGCTTCCTTTGACACCTAATTGCTCGCAGTTGAATGCCATTCTTAGCACAGGCCGCTAAAGTCGTTGCATCAAGATAGTTTTGGCCCGGCGGAAACTTTCCCCCTAATCGTCGTTAATCTTTTCTTAACGATTGTGAGACACATGTAATAAAAGAATCAAGGCTTATTTAAACCGAAGAATTTTCTCTTAGCAAAATTAACATTTTGACAGGTCCAGCTTGTCAGCAGAAATATTTTCTATTTCGGTATTTTAGTATCGTCTCGTGATAAATACAAGATTTTAATACATTGTATTTTTAAATTACCGACGACTAGCATTATAATTTGATAGCATTGAAGCGTACGTTTTTCATTATCAACGATTTTTGACAAAATGTGTTTTTGATCCATAAATCGTGACGTGACACGAATTAACATAGAGATTACGAGACGATACTGGAATGCCGGGATGGATGGTGCGCTTCTGCCAAAAAAGAGAGAGAGAGAGAGAGAGAGAGAGAGAGAGAGAGAGAGAGAGAGGACGGAGAAACCTAATGAATGCATGTTGAATTTACCTGTGCACCGACGAGGCCAGCGCGTAATCTAGGGATGTCCGTGTGACTCCAGTCTGATCTGGCCCAAGGGTCGACCCTGCCGAGATCGCTGCTCAGGTTGACTTCGCCAAGTTGATTGTGTACGAACTTTCTGACGTTCCAGGGCAAATCGTTGTGCCTACGAATCAGAAGTATGCGCTTTAAAAAAGAATGCGCTTTTAAAAGAATATCACGTGTACACGGAAAGAACAATTTTGCTGAATCTAGATCTGAAAATAATTTTTGTTCAATAATCAAAATAATTTTGTGCGAAAGTCAAAGTAATTGCTAAAATATCAAAATGTTTTATAGCGATTCTTATCAGCTTTAACATTCCAACAAATTATTTTGATGATTCAACAAAAAATTATTTTCAGATCTGTTTTTAGCAAAATTTTTAGACCTTTCAATAAAATCGTTCTTTCCGTGTACGATATATACATCGCGCGATATTCAGCAGTGTATAACACGGAGAGAACAATTTTGCTGGAGCCAGATCTGAAAATAATTTTTGTTCAAGAATCAAAATAATTTTGTGTAAAAGTCAAAATGATTGCTGTAGAATATCAAAACGTTTTATATAGCAATGCTTATCAGTTTTAACATTCCAATAAATTATTTTGATAATTCCACAAAAAATTATTTTCAGATCTGTATTCAGCAAAATTTTTAAACCTTTCAACGAAATCGTTCTTTCCGTGATAGGACATGAACTATTATTTACTTGCTTGAAATTCGTGTGGCGCGTTGCATAGAATAATGAGATATTTTCTATTCGAGTAACAATTATGAAACATTATATACTCGTATAATACGTTCGAAATGCGTAATGATCTGTATGTTACAATGTTACTTGAGATTAATAAGCAAGCTTGAATTAAAACGGGATTTATTTAGTTCCGAATATCTGGGGATTATATATCCGTATCATTATACAATGTAATGTGTGATATATTGGAATAATTACTTGATACATTAGTGAGATCATATGTACCGGAAACAAGACTGTACATGAAATTCAATTTGTATTTTTCAAATGCCTTTATACATTGATATTGTATACATACATACATACATATATATATTTTTTTTATTTCGATCAACGATACGTTTGCGAGGTTCTATCGTCAATTTCGTGTAACAAGCGCTCACCCATCGATCAGAGGCACTTCAGTGAGGATCCTCCTGATCACGTCCAGCCTCTGCTGGTGCGTGGCAGGCGCGGATTGTAGTAGAAACGGCAGACAGAGGCCTCCGAGGAGCAGGACGGCCACTAGGAGCAGGACAGGCGCCAACAGCCGACACCTCCTGCGAGGACTCTCGTCTCTGCGATCCTTGCTGCTGCCGCTGCTAGGCGAGTCCTCGCACGGCGGCGGTAATCGCACGGTGCCGTTGCAAGGCGCCACGTCTGGCAGTTCTGTTAGGCACGTGGTCTGAAAGAAGAGACCCAAAATTATATATGAATTCTGCTTGCTATTGCTTTGATATTCATCTCGCTGAATTATTAATCTCGTTGGAAGGAATAAAAAATCGAAGAATGATTGAGTTCTCTTTAACAGGCGTAAAAGAAATATTACGATATTTCTGTTTAATTTATAGTAGCGGTTTTCTCACATCTTTCAAAAAAAATTTTCTGAGATTATGTATAGATTTCTCAGATAATACGTCTTTAATTCCGATATTTCGAAATTCACTTTGAATTTAACGGAACACATTTTCAGATATTTTTTTATCGATCTTTCAATATCAAACTTGGCTTTAGGATATTTCTTTTAAGAGACGTTCGTTCATGTTTGTCTGTAGGGTTTTTTTTTGTCAATTTGAATGATCTGTGTAAGCGATAATTACGTTTTTGCGAAACAGATCTCATTCATGGAGCAGACAGAACATTTGGGTCGATTTAGTATACCGCGCGCACGTTCGAGATATTTGCTTGGTGAATTAATTAATCTGGTTAATAGCTGCCGCGGAGATTACACGACGCGCATTCAGCGGACGCGTACATTGGTGGAAATAAATAATTACTTGTCTGTAATTTCGTGCATTGTAAGCGACACTGCGGAAGATTAATATTTTCCTGGCTAACTGAAGTTAAACACAACGTATTGCAATAAAGTCGACCGAGTATTACGAAAGGCTTTAATTAAACGCGATATGTGAAATATCAATGTGAAACGTTTTGCCTTTGTAATTGAAACTGTAACACTTTGTTTATCATATTAAGAATTAACAACATATTTTGATATTTCTGTCAAGATATGTTATTAATTCTTAATGCGATAAATAAATAATGCGTTACAGTTTAATGAGTTACAGGAATGTCAACACGGAAAGAACGATTTTGTTGAAAGGTCTAAAAATTTTGCTAAATACAGATCTGAAGATAATTTTTTGTTGAATTATCAAAATAATTTGTTGGAATGTTAAAACTGATAAGCATTGCTATAAAACATTTTGATATCTACATTTTGATTCTAGCAATTATTTTTACTTTCGCACAAAATTATTTTAATTATTAAACAAAAATTATTTTTAGATCTGGATTCAGCAAAATTGTTCTTTCCGTGAAGATACGTTATTAATTCTTAATGCGATAAATAAAGTGTTACAGTTTTAACTATAAAGACAAAACGTTTCGCATTGATATTTCACATATTGCGTTTAATTAAAGCCTTTTGCAATACTCGATTGACTTTAGTTAGATGCGCCTCTTCCGATTAATATACAATCAAATTATATATTCAATGAAAAATTTCTTGCGTTATTTTTGACTGCGCATCGATCTCACTGTAACGCCACATTTCCAACAGCATTCGCAAAATTGTTTCAAATCTTTCAAATAGAGCAACGAGCTTCGTAGCGGGCGTGTATATAAATCCTCTCGCATGTGTGCGAGACTTTTCGACGCGGGCGAAACGTATCCGGGCGAAGTTAGACAATCGCGCGTGTTAACGACTATTTAAGTGTCTCTTAGAAAGTGCATTACGCGCGGTGGCGCATGCAGCGGAAACGGACGGGCACCGGCGTGACGCGGCGCGGCGGCTGTAACCTGTCCGCGGAAAAATACAACCGCCGCCGCCGCCGCGGAGTACCAGCCGCTCGAAGGAGGGGTGTGTGCTCTGCCCTGGATGAAAGGAGGGCTCCTCCGCGGCGTCGTCGCTGCGACGCTCTGCAGGCAACGCGCGGTAAACTTTTGTTCGCCCTCCTTTCGGCCACCATAAAACACGTTAACGCCCGGCTACGGATTTTCCGCGCGGCGTTTATATATAGCCGTATATACACAGCGTAGAGGAACACAGCCGCGCGCGAGAAGGCATTGGGATACTTGGCGAGCCTCTGGGAATTTTCTCAGTTTCTACAGTTGTCGTAAACAACTCACCAAGTCATAACTCTCGTGTACTGTATACACCCCCCCTCGCGCGGTACCGCGTGATACCCATCAGATTTTGCGCAGTTACAAATCAAACAAAATCGCGGCTCTTTCGTCGAGAGACGATTGGCACGGTTCATAATAAGAAAATAATAACAGAACTTTCGGATAATAATATTATTTCCCCATAGTTGTTTTAATAAAAAAAAAACGTAATTGTGTGCTCGCCAACGATTGTACATAATTTATGAAATTTTGAACGATTCAATTATTCCAGATTCAATTAAAGTTAAAAAGAAACCATGTTAAATTGCGAGATATTCGATACGGGCAAAGATAGAACGCAAACAATAATAAATAAAAAAACAATTCGAGTCTAAGACAATCTCGTTATCGCAGATGGAAAAAGATAAGAAATAATTGGAAAGACATAAAAAAATTTCGACTGACACAACGAGTATTCTGCTTCCCGATGCTCCTTTCAGCGAAACTTCCATCTCACGCGTGTTCTTTCCTTTATATATCTATACATAGCGGCGCCAAGTTTCGCGTATTTACGGCGTACAATAATGCGAGGGATACGAAGTTTCGCGAGGTACTCGTACGCGAATGGAAGAAGCTCAAACGAGAGCGACGAACGCCCGGATGAAGCGGGCAGATTCAACGAGCTTAAACCGCGAAAGTTATCGTCGGCATTACTCGCGCGAAAGAAACGGCGGTATGTGCGCGTTATCGTCGCGTGCGCGGAACAGCGAACGCGATTCCCCATTTTTAGCCGTTTCTCCGTTTTCTTATTCACGACTCCGCTCGGGAGAGAATCGATTATCGATACCGCGGGTAATTAATAGCTGCCTGGAGGTAATGAAAATGAAAGCTATGGACGCGCGTCGTTTCCGTGCATACAACTAACAGAGAGAGAAGAGAGAGAGAGAGAGAGGGGGGGGGGAGGGAGGGAATTTCCCGACAATACTCGTTCATTGTTTAAAATAGAGTCCGGTAATTACAGGGTGTTTTCTTCTTTCTTTCTTTCGCGATGCAACAATAAACGAATTTCACTTTATTCATTAAGTATAATAAATACAGAGGATAATATTGAAGGTAAAAATCGAAAACAATTTTTCCCACCCCGCAGCTTAACGGCGCGTTTAAGGAAGCAATTCCGAATTTTCGATCTTTTTTTGTCGCGCGAGCAGTCGCCGACAAATTAATTCGTACTTTGCCACGCTGGCTACGTAAAGACAATTATTGCCGCTCGTGATAATAATAATGGGTGACCGCCTTTTAGCGCTGCTCCTTCGGAATTTAACGAAAAAGGGAATTCAACGTACTTTTATAACCGTGCTAAAAGTTTTTACCGCGAGCGTAAACGTATTAATTAAGCGCGTTAATTGAGCGCGTTTAAAAATGAAACGACACATAAGGCGGTTATGTAGATACGAAGTATGGAAGATGCAACGCTCCAACTTATCCTCATGTTTTTCTTAAAATGAAATTACTTTCACGAGCGCGGAAGACCACGTCTCTCCAAATATCATTATTTTTCCACAGATTTTGAAAGTATTTAAAGATTTTAATTTATTTTTCGGAGATATATAAAACATTATTCAATATGTTTTATACAAGAAGGAAGGAAGAAAAGATAAGTTTATATCATAACTTTAGTTTTCGTTTTGCTGAAAATATGAGAAATAATAAGAAGCTTAGAATAGCATCTTATTATAAGAACGTGTTTCACGTGCAGTTTGCACAGGAGATACTAATTTCTGTGTCAAAGTGCAAGTTTGAAATGTCTTTTTGGGGATTCTTCGAAATTTTAATTTTTTCGATAATATTTTTTTGCAATAACTTCCATTGATGTGCGAGAAATTCGACAAAATGATGAAAGTGACATGTAAAATAAATAAAAGATTTCGAAGGATTTTCATATTTGAAAACTAATGTCTATAGCCGTGCTCCGTTTTTCGATTTGCAATTGTAAAATACGGGCGGTGTGTCACGTGTATATCCACTTGTTACGATAAAATACTATATCCTATTCACCGGTCGTGCCAGTTTTACCCTGTATATACAGCACGTAGTGCTCTGAAACTATAATGGAAGTCCTTCCGCATCCGTCGTGTTCTTACGCGATTAAGTCCGGGCCCCGACTTCTCGAGGAGACGTGAAGTGCGAGATTCGTAGTTGGCTCTTTGGGTACACGCCGAGGAGAAACCCCCGACGGCGAACGCCATCGCTGATTCCTTCTTGTGTCTGGTTAATGGAACTAAGAAGCTCGTAAACGTATTAACTGCTGCAAAGGACATTGGCTTTGATCCACCTGCGACGAGTGCCTGCCTTCGTCTTCGCTCTTTGAAAAGCCCGATTGACGCATAACCCCTCCCCTGCCCCCTTCCTCCTTCCTCTCTTCTGTTTCAAGCGCAAAAATGAAACTGCTTTATGCATGAGAATGTAAAATTGTTACAAAATTGCGCGCACGCAGGAATTATCATTTAGACAGATATAAAATCTTTTGATACAGAAATCGAAATATTAAGAGATACTATATAAAATGATGGTATATTTATGTATTTTTATTCAAATTGTCATACTTCTGAAACATATCGATACGCATATATTGGTATCTGAGCCTCTTTTATTATCGGTTTTCGAACGGGACATGTTTAGTCCTGATATTTCGATCGTATCTTTTCTCTTCATATACATACTCGTATAGGCTAACCATAATACCTATAAAGGAAATACAAATGATCCCACAGGGATGATTGGCTTGCACAGTCATTTGGGTTCGGCGAATCCACGGACCCGAGTTCATTACATTGCGGACACTCAATATATTGTATATACACGTCACACGTACATTCATATACAAGCGAATTCAGAATTTGTAAATGACAATGCAGTGGAAAAGGGAGAAGATATAAAGGCAGAAGATAGCTTGATCTAAAAAAAAAAGAATAAGAATAAGTTGAAGTCTACTTGCATGTATATTAAGTAATTTTGTTAATTTTAATAATGTATATAAAACGTACAAAAAGAAAACGAGAAACAAGAGTCATGAGAAAA